TGTGAGTGCCTGCAGATGAGTCTTATTATATAAGTCCCTTTTAAGCAAGTGGGTGAGGACCCACAGTCAGGCCAGCCCATTTCAGATTGCAGTTGCCCCAAAGCAATAGGACCCTCTGCCCTTGACTCACCTTAGCTTGCACTTCCAGTTGCACCAGGGCATTCTTCAGCTTCAGGCTTGCTGAGGGCTTAAGGATCCCCCAGTCTTGGGGCCATGGAGGTTTGTTCAGCCTGTGCACAGAGCTATATGGAAGTACTGGGGATTGAAAATCTATAGGGGCAACACTCAGACATTTAGGCACAGACATTGCTGGATGAATACCCTGCTTTCCCATTCCTGGAAGGAGCAATTTTGAGTCGTGTTCTACACAGTTCCCCTGAGGGTCCCAAGTGAATTTGAGCCCCAGATCCACAGCAGAAACTCACTCAGTAACTCTCCCCACTGGCTTTCCTGCCTCCCTGTCTCACTTTTGTCACTCAGTCAAGTGTGCTTCCTGCAATCATTTCAGACCCCCAAGTCCTTGTTTCAGTGCCTGTTTATAGGGAGATTATCCAAATCAGGATGGCTGTGTGATAACAAAAATAACAATAAGGATATAATTTTTAGTAATTACTGCTTTTCAGGCACTACAACAAACACTTCACAGTTAATCTCACGAATGTCCGGAGTAAGTACCCTTTAAACTACTTTACATATGGAGAAAGAAAGACTCAGAGAAGTAAGGTAAATTGCCATAGGTCATGCAGCTAGTAATAGGAGGAACTGGGAATAAAATCAAGATGTCTGATTCAGAATAAGGCATACCACCCTGTTTAAACTCTCACTGCCTCATTCCTGCATTCCTGCACAAATCTATCTTCGCTCCCTAGATTCATTACCTGTCCTTCTCCTCTCCATTCTCCACACTGCTGCCATGAAGATCTTTTCTCAGTATCTGATCTTCTCTCTTCAGGATAATACACTCATAATTTCCCATTGTCTTTAAGAAAAAGTCTGCATTGGATCCCACGCCCTTCATGCTCTGACCCCTGCCACCCTTCCCAGGCAGTCCTGTTGCTGCTTTCTCCCCTTCTGCCACCCACACACATTTGGTACTTTAGCCAGAAGGTTCTAATTGTGCTACCCTCCTCCCTCCTAGTCTTTCTGCCTAGAATGACAAAGTATTTTCTCTCCTCTTCTCCCCTCTACTCATTGTCTTCTCTGGTTCTTTTTCTTACCCTTTGTAGGGTAAGTGAGTTATCAGGCTGTTTTCCCACCACTCCCACCACTCCATGCCACCACCTTTGCATTCCTCCCATGATTATGGGCACCTGGGCCCAGGAAGCACAGTGCAGGCATGTGCAAATGCGTGTACTTGGGCCTAGAAGACTCAAGGGAGAAAAGGGCAGAACCACTCTACTATTAGAGGACTATTAGACACCAGAGAGACAAAGATGTTGGGGTGGGGGAATGCTGGGGAACTCAGTTGCCTGCCTGCCTTCCAGCCCCAAGGGCTCCAAGATTCCTTTACCCGTCTGCCCAAGAACTGACAATGAACCTACCCAGCCTGGGATGGCTGCTCAACACCCTTAAAGACTCTGTTCAAGAATCATTTTGCTAGTGATGATCTCTGTGCCTTGTCGTCCCCCACTCCTCCAGCTAGGCCCCAGGGACAGGGCAGGGTGCCTCTCCTGGGTGCTTCCATCACACTGACCAAATGGAGGGTAATTGTTGCTCCACTTATCTCTCTCCCCCTCTGGCCCATGAAATCAAGAACCATCTTTCATCACTCTATCCCCAGCACTGGGACACTGGTACCTTATAAGGATTCAACAAAAGAGTTTGCTGAATGGAATGATTCATGAGCTAAGCACAAATGGTTGTGATTATACACAAAAGCCAAGAAACTCTGCATCTACATGTCAACAGATGTCCCCACAGGGGGTCTGTATTAAATATGCCTCCAAATCAGACATGACTAGCAAATTCAGCATCAGGTCCGCCCCAGCTAGTGAAATGACTGCAAGAGCACTTAGGATGCACAAGCAGCATCAGCACTGACCAAATTTTATAAGCCACCTTATCAACTGAAAGCCAATCACTCTCCATCTTGCAGTCTCAATGAGACAGTATTTCTATATACCCAACTCAAGCAATACCTGGAGTCACATGGTACCTGAAGTCACATGGCCCACACAATCCCAATAACCGTCAAATCACTTTGTTTTAGGCACACAGAGCAAACTGCAAAGTTGATGAAAGCATCATATAGTTTTATATGCTAAATATTGGATATTAGTCTCTTACTGGAATTTTGTCTAGTTGGCCAAATTTTCTTCCTATCAATTCTAGGAAAGTAGTTGGTGAAGGTGAAGGATTTGCTTCTAATGAATTTCACTAGATCATCAGAGTAAGGGCTGGGCTATTGGTAGGGGTGGCTCAGTTGCTGAGAACAGAACCTCAATTTTATTCAGCAACTGACTTTCAGCCGTCACTTAACCTCATTGTGATTCATTCTGCTTATCAGCCAAAAGCCCTGAATTACGGAACGCACTGGAGGTCTGAAAACAAATTAATAAAGATGCTGAAGTGCCACAGGAATGCTAAGGACTGGGTTAGCCATCTTCCTGCATGAAGGAAATTCAATGTCACCACTCTGTCCCTGACGTTTCTCACTGTGCATGTGGTGAGGCATCTCCCAGGTTATGGCCAAATACAAAAGTTAGTGAAAATTACACACTTAATTAACTAGATTTTTTTCAGATACCTCTATGGTATCTGACATATATTTATTTTTTTAAAGATTTATTTATTTATGCATACAAGAACTGGGGTACAGGCCAGAGGTATAAGGAGTGAGAGGATTCACCAAAGACCGAGTGGGGAATGAAACAGGCAGACTGACTAAAATACACTGCTGACGGGAGCAGCGGGCGAGCCAGGAAAGGTCTGCTGCACCATGTGGGTGCTCACTGGCTGGCTGGGGATCGAACTCATGCTGCAGTGGCTGCAGATAGCCTCACAGTTTGCGTCTTATTAACCCTTGCACCACCAGGGAGGAACTGACATATATTTATAAAGCCTTCAATTCCTTACTTAATTTGGGTGATTATCTTAAGACAATTTCCTGAGCAGCATCTAAGCTCTAGAGCACAAATTTGTCTTCTTATGAGGCAAGGGGCCAGCCTTTGGTACTTCGTATCAGTCATTCCTCTGGATATGGGAGGGGGCACATTGCATTATTTTCCATGGTAAGGAGCTCCTGTGAGGTTCCTGTGGGCAGCTGTCCTGGGAATGGGGCCATCATAAGCTTTAGCAACCAGTACTCACAGCAGCTAGGAAGGAGTGCACAGGCTCTGGGTGTGTGTGCCTGGGCACCAACCCTGTTCATTCCAGCAGAGGTTCTCAAATCAGAATCACCTAAAGGACTTATTAAAGCACAGTGCTGAGCCCCAGCCTAGGAGTGTTTGATTCAATAGGTTTGGGTGAGGTCCTACAATTTGCCTGTCTAACAAGTTCCCAGGTGACCCTGCTGGTCCAAGGTCTAAACTTTCAAAACTCTGTGCTATAGAGATTATACAGGGTTGAAAAGACACCCCTCTGACCTATTTTGATTCTGTCAGGTTTTGTCCAGGAGTATTTCAGCTGTAGAATATAATTGTCAACCTCTGTCTCCAGAATTTTTAACTCTGTTGTCACAAACACAAAGAACATGCATAAAACCCTAAAGTAGGGAGGTTCAAAATAGTGACTATGGAAGCTGAAGCTGAAACAGCAGGGTCCTGTCTCATCTGCCAAGACATAATCAACATCATGTTCCCTGCCTTCCTTCCCCCTCCACCACGGCACAGAGGTGAGAGGTGCCAGACGTGATCAAGCGGCATGGAGAAGTCTACTGATATCAGTTCCATGCCGCATCCCAGTGGTTAGGCACCCTCTAAGCATGGTTCAGTTCTGGGTGGCCACCTTGTCAGGGAAATGGACCAAGTGGGGCATGTCCAGAGAGGAAGGATTAGGAGATGAGGGGAATGCATGCAATAATGTTTCATGGGGGAGATTTGGCAAACAATATATAATGATGTAGCTAACTATGATAGGCTAAGTCAAGAAGGAGTTATTCCCTGCCACTGGAAACTTTGAGGCAAAGGCAAAACAAACAGTGGGTGGAATGAGGGGGTAGGGTCATTTGGATTGGAGGTTGCATCAGGTAGCCTTTAAGTTTTTCCCCAAGTCTATTAGTTATTAGCTTACTAGTTATTCATTTGTTGAAACTCCTTGCATGCCCTTTCTTTTACTCTCCAGTTGTTCTTAGGATACTATCTTGTTTTACTGGATTCTCAAATGAGAGAAAGTTTAGTGCTTTAGCTTTTATTCCAGTTGACTTGTAAGAGCTCTAAATTCCTTCCATTTTCCAGAGAAGAGTCAGAAATCTTCCTGCTTTCCTGATTGAATGCTTAGATGATCTGGGAATCTAGCATTTTTATTTTCTATTTTTATGTATAAAGCCCAACTCTTGGTCCTATGAAATAGCCTTTGGTTTGTTGTAAGGTACCTTTCCAAGCCTCTTTCAGTTACTTCTAAAATTTACTCCTCACAGTTGACATGCTCTGAGGACAGATCATCAGAGTTGTCCCATTGTATAGAAAGGCAAGCTGGGGGCAAAAGAATTTCAGAAGCATGTATCTTCCCATCCTTTCTTCAGCCTTATTACTTCACCCTTCTCTTCAATGCTTATTAAATGGATATTTACTCAACATAAGTCTCTAGGCTTATGTTTATTAAATCATTTAAGAACTGAGTCACTGGGGTTGTGTTTTGGCCGACCTCCAGCATTCACTCATCCCAGACCCATGTTGTTGAATACAAAGGCACTATGATTCATTTCTCCTCTTCAGCTTCACTAATCAAAGAAGCCCATTGCTCTTGCCATGTGCTGAGTGATATAATGGGAATTTCTAGGCTGAAGGCATAAGATTCAGACAAACTTTAAAAAAATTGTCAGGCAATCTGATTTACTGTACCTGTGAAGATGTAGCAGGGGAAAAAGCAAAACTGGGTAGATTTTGCTCTCCCATCCTCCTATCTGTGAACACAGAAAAATGCCTATTTTCTTAACCAAGTCATTCACATAGGCACTGCTGGACCACGGAACTCCAAGCAAGACCTGGGGGGAAGAAAAGGCATGGGCTGAGCACAGACAATCAGTTTATAAGGAACATCAAGGTCCCCATTAAATACAACTAGGTCCAGAAAATAACAGTTTCCAGAACTCTCAAAAGGAGTTCTACATGCAGTTGGAATATTGGGATGGGGGAACCTGGCATGGGATGGGGGGAGGTCAGTTGCTAAACTGCCTTCTAAGTCATGAAGCTATCTAGTAGCTGTGTTCATATTTGTTTGCTCAAAGGGACAGGCAAGTTAGGGGAAAGCTGATCTGCTGGGAGGACAAGTAGAGAGTGATTATCTTCCTTAGCTCTATTTTTACAGTCATTCTTCAAAAGAAATGTGAAATGAATATTTAAGGAATCTAGGCTTAAGTAATTTAAATCTTGTTTGTAAAGTTTTACATCTTTTATTTAAATAGATCGACAATGAATATGAAAAACACATTAACATTTGTCAATTCTGGTTGGGAAACCAAGCATTTTTTTTTGTTTGTTTGTTTGTTTTTAACTACAATGAAAGAGCATAGCTTTGAAGGATCATTCCCTTTATTAGCTAGCCCAGAGCATCCATAGCTCTTTATTCCACAATATTACCTCCATGCCATGTCCCCTCTGCCACCCACTTTTTATCCCCACTGAGCACTGCTTTGAACAGGATTCAGATGAGCATATGAGTGGGGACCATAAACAACAACCTGCAGCTATGAATATGTGGAATCTCTGGTCAGAGAGAAGCATACCAGGGTCCAGGCTGTGTGGATAATGCCTCTGGCTGCCCAGCTCTCCTCCGGGACCACCTCTGAGTCAGTGATATCACTCATAGCCCACTAATATGAAGGGCTGTAGAGGTTGGAGATCAACACTTATAGGGCAATATCTATACTATATTGAGCTTGGACCCAGGTCTGGATGTGTGGAGGATGTTAAGAAAGTTCTGACAACAAAGGATGAGCCCTACTTCTGGACACTTTCTTATGAATATTGGTTTTACGATGTTCACACCTAGCCCAGTACAGCCACACCCCTGTGAGTAAATATGGTCTCCCTCTTTTAATTTTGAAGGACCCTATCCTTTCAAGTACCAAATATTTAGCTGCTAGGTCTGGACATAAAGAATTCTGGATGGACTTGAGTTGACTCCTAGGAGATAGAAGATAAAAGTAGTGGTTCTCAAAGTGGATCCTTAAGGGTTCCCTAGAATCTCTCAGATGACCCACAAGGGAAAAAATTTCATCAGAATATTGAGATGTTATTTGCTTTTTTCATTGTGCTGACATTTGCTCTGAAGACACAGAAGAAATAATGGATGCAACTACCAGTTCTTTAGCAAGAATCACCAAATTGATAATCATTATATTTCTTGCACATGCAGAAAAAATGTCCTTAACAGTAACTTTGATGAAGCAGTAAAAATTATTACTTTTATTAAATCTCAACCATCGAATATATACACCTATTTAATATTTTATGTGACAAAATGGGAATTACACATAGAATACCTTTGCTGCAGGCAGAAGTATAATGGTTGTCTCAAGGAAAAGTACAAGTGTGAGTTGCAAGTTGAATTAGCTGCTCTTTCATGGAACACCATTCTAACGTGAGAGAATAAGAAGCAAACTCTAGTTTTTCAGACCTGGGTATGTGACAGAGGTCTCAAAAACTCTAGTTTTTTAGCCCTGGGTATGTGACAGAGGTCTCAAAATGAGCAAAGTTTGTCTGTCATTTTGAGGCAAACAATTGATAGTACTTGTTCCAACAATAAAACTTAAACTTTTAAAGGAAAATTAGAATTTTGTAAAACCTGTAAGCTTGACAGCTGTCTAGTACTTAAAGACTTGTTTAATGAGATTAGTAGTGATATTTGCAAGTGTGAATGTTTCAAAATTTACATGATCTGCATAACTCAGTGAGTGAATCAATATTTTCTAAATGATCAATGCATGATGTTAAAAAGTCATGCATGGGGCCTCCCTGGTGGTGCAAGGGGTTAAGCACCACCGCATTATGAAGCAATCCCCAGCCTCTGCAGCACAAGTTCAATCCCTGGCTGGCCAAGGAACAACCCACATGGCGCAGCAGACCTCTCCTGACTCGCCCACTGCGAGTGTACTCAACAGTGTACTTCAATCTGCCTGTTCTGTTCCCCACTTTGTCTCTGGTGAATCCTCTCACTCCCCCACCCACATCTGGCCTGTACCCCAGCTCTTGTATGTGTAAATAACTAAATCTTAAAAAAAAAAGTCATGCATGGGTAAATGATTCAAAGTGCAAAATGACCACACACACATGATTTTAATGTAACAAAGGATGAAAAGTTCATTGATATGGTTTCAGATTCTATGTTGCAAATAGCCTTTAAGAAACTATTACTTAATAGTTGCATCCAACATGCTATTTTTCCCCACTCTCCTCCGCCACCATTAAAACAGAAACATGTAAATTTAAGCAAAAATATCTTCCATTAAAAAAATTTGCAGTCTGTAGACCACTCAGGGGTTGTCTAGAAATTTAAAATCCCATCCCTTGGATTGTAGGGTTTCTTGTTTTCCCCAAATATATCAGATATCTGATGTTTAAAATAAAAAGTCTACCATTTGTATATTTCTGGTATATCAAAGATAATCACAAACTATATGAAAAGGCTAATAAAATATTCTTTCTTTTTTCAGTTACATATCTGTGTGATGCCAGATTTTCTTCTTATACCTCAACCAAAACAACATATTGCAAGAGTTAGAATATGGAAGCAATTATTAGAATCCCATTATCTTCTGTTAAACCACACATTAAGGAAACTTACAAAAATATAAAAAAAAATCCCTTTCTCATAAATGTTTTTGTTTGAAGTCATTTTCATAATAATTGGGTTATTTTGTTACTAGGTACTGGGTTCATCACTATTATTTAAAATTAACAGAAATAAATAAGCCAATATTTTAAAATTTTTTCTGTTTTAATTTTTCATACAATAAATATATGGACATATAACCCACATGAACAAAAGTTCTTTGGGGTTCTCAAAAAAATTTAAGAGTATAAAGAGGTCCTGAGATAAAAAAATATTGAGAAAGACTGAATTAGGGCACTTTGTGAAGATCGAGTTGATATGTATATATATAATAAAAAGTCCTATTATAACATTAATAATCTGTACATATTTACTATGTGCGCAGTGCTATGAGTGTTCATTTACTCCTCATGTGTATGAGATATTTAATATCACTATCTTGTTAAGAATAAGGAAAATGAGGCACAAAGAGGCTAAGTAACCTACTCAAGGTTGAGTAGTAAAGAATCAGGGTTTGAACGCAGGTAGTTTGACTTCAGAATCTGAGTGCCTGATCCCTATATTCTACAGTCAATATTTGTTAGTGTTAATGTTGATAATGGTTGTAAATTAGATTCTATAGTTTCACTTACTTACTGTAATTATGTTTCTCTTGTTATCTGTAGCCCTTTTGTAAGTCCTTATTTAATTTTCCAAATTAGTCTCAAATGTGCTACAGGATATTAAGGACTGGACGAAAGGGATGGAATTACTGGAGAACACAGTACCACCTCCCATTTCTGTGGTAGAAGCAGTATAAATTCACAAAAAGCTCAAAAGAATCAGGTGAAAATTTCAGTCCAGCTGTCCCTCCTCTTGCAGAGATGTCCCCCTTTTGAGTCATATTGCATTTGTTAAATAAAATGGCACTTTCCCTGAATGTGAACCCCAGCCCTCAAAGAAATGGCAATCTAATTGAAGGGGATAAAACAAACATATGAAATAACAGCTAGAACAGATGACAGTATTTAATTAAGTGCTAAATTAATATGAAAGCAGACTGAACTTTTTTTTTAATTTCTCTTAGATAATTCAGAAATTACTTGGGGGTCTACCATGCCTCTGGGTCATAATTAAGAAGAGTAATTATTATTGTACTCTTGATATCACAGAAATCCAAGTTAAATTCTTTCACTTCTCAGTTTGACAAGCTTTTTTCCTCCACTGGTGATCCTGGATTTGCTTCTCAGTTCTCCTCTACATGCACAATAAAGTGGTTTTTTTTTTTTTCAGGATGTGTTTCACTGTGTTGTCATCAGCCACCAGCCCCACAGTAAGGGAAACTTTTTCTGTGCTCCACTGGCATATTTTTGGTGACTTTTATTACAACATATACAGCCCTTGTTATGGGGGATGCCTGTCAGGTACTGGTGGTGACAGTGATTGGACTTCTCTGAGTTACTGGCCTATTTTTCTTACAGGCACATCATGGATTTTGCGTCTGACCAGGTTTCCCTCCGACTCCAAGTACAGATGTACAGACATTTAGAGACAAGTTTGTGGCTAGCCCATTGCAGGTGGTCTTCTGTTGTATTTGTTTGACCTCACTCTCAACCCTTTTTAAGTTATTTGCTTTCTTCTTTTGTTCCTAATGTAATTTTGCTATCTTATATTTTAGTTGTCCTTGAAATCTGATTTAAATACTTGCAGAAGTAGGGTGAGTTACAAATAGCGGTTCAGTTCTGCTACCAACTATTCACATGGCCTTGAGCAAGTCCTTCAACTCTGGGCTTCTTATCTATAAAATGCTCACCTCCCCGGTTCCTCCCAGCCCATGATATTTATAGCAGATAATGAAGAATTGTGGCCAATAGGTGTTTTAGGGCCAAGTTCACACATTGAAATGTGCACCAGAGAAGTATTTGCTGGGGTCCTTCTTAGATCACTAATCAACAGAGATGTGGAAATCGGTGCAAAGAGTGGAGGATGAATGTTATTGTCACAATACTTCTCCATGAGCTAGGAGCAAGGATGGAGAACAAAATAGGTGAGATCCGGTCCCTGCATTTGAGAAGTTTAACAAGGGAGATAGTTTCAAGGAGTGAGAGGTGAAAGTCCTAAGCGAAGGTTGATTGCAGAGCCAGGGTACCAGGAGCTCCTATGTAGTGCCCTGTGGCAGCATCAGAAAAGCAGCTCTGAGGGGAGCAGCAGCTCACCCTGTGCAGGTGCCAG